GAAAGAAGCAGAGGGCTTTGGACGCCTTGACCGATGTGATCAAGAGCAGAAAGCATCGATCATGGCAGAAATTCCACGAACCAATCATGATGAAGTTTATCACCCTCTGTGTCGAGTTGAAAAAGAGCCATGTTGCGAAAGAAGGGCTTTTCCAGTACAGGAACATTTGCCAGCAGGTAAATTTGAAGTCTTTGGAGGAGGTGGTTAGAGAATATCTAACGCTTGCTGAAGAGAAGGCTGAATCTGCTCGGAAAGAAGCTCACCATGAGCTGTTGGAAATTGATGATCTCGACAACCTGGTGACTCCGGAGAGCATTCTTTTGAGCGCGGTCAGCACGGAGGATCGCCAAGACCGTACAGACCGCGTAGTGCTGATCCCCTGGGTGAAGTTCCTCTGGGAATCCTACCGGCATTGTCTCGAGCTGCTACGGAACAACTACCGGGTCGAGAGGCTCTACCACGACATCGCCCAGCAGGGCTTCAGATTCTGCCTCAAGTACGAGCGCAAGACGGAATTCAAGAAAATGTGCGACCTCCTCAGAGCTCACTTAGGACACATCAGCAAGCATCAGAATCAGCAAACTTCAATCAACTTGAACAATCCTGAGAGTCAGGCCTTCAACATGGAAACTCGACTGGTACAGTTAGACTATGCCGTGGGCATGGAACTCTGGCAGGAAGCCTATAAAGCAATCGAAGACATTCATGGATTAATGGCTCTCTCCAAGAAATCCCCAAAGGCTCAACTAATGGCCCTTTACTATCAGAAGATGGCTCTCGTTTTTTGGAAAGGCGGAAATTACCTGTATCACGCCGCAGCATTGTTTCGTCTGTTCTACTTCCTGAAAGATATGAAGAAGAATATTACGATGGAGGAGCTGCAGAAGATGGCGGTGCGCGTGGTGATCTCGGCGCTGTCCGTCCCATGCCGCCCGTGCGACCGGAGACCAACCGCCTCGTGGAGACGGACGATAAGATAGCAGAGAGGAACCAGCGACTCCTGGCACGACTCCTCGGTCTAGAGAGTCCACCAACCAGATCATCTCTGGTCAAAGACCTCATACGGTTTGGAATTATCAACTTTACTTCTCACGTGGTCCAAGAACTCTACTCCTGGTTGGAGGTAGAATTCCACCCAATCAAGCTATGCTCTTCCATTTCGGCTTGTCTCACTCAGATCCTGGAAGAGTCCTCGGACCTCCAGCAGTACGTGCCACTGATCCAGGATAACGCTCTGTTCAGGTTGCTCAAGCTAGTCTCGCAGGTGTATAATGCCATGGACTTCGACCATCTCCTGGAAATGGCTTATTTCACCGACATCGATTACCTGGAGAAAACAATCGTGGAGTCGGTCCGCAAACACAACCTGCCAATCAGGATCGATTATCGCAAACGGTGTTTTCGATTCAGCCCCATCACCGGAGTGAGCCGTGGAGATATTTGCGATGGACCTTGGGTAGACCAAGGACAAACAGTCCTCACACAACTTCAAAATATCCATAAGCTCTTGGAAAAATGTCTTGAGAAGATCTACCCGAATATTTTAGAATCTGTACGCCAGAAAGTCAAACTCAGTCTCATCGCTGAATATGAGGCCCACAAGTACGAAGACCACAAGAATATTCTCAACCGCCATCACATCATAGAAGAGAGGAAGGAACTCTTGGAAAACCTCAGCTACATCAGGGAGGAAGAAGAAAAGCGTCAGATGGAAGAGAAACAGCAAAAATTACGAGAAGCTGAACTTGAAAGAATGGCTAAAGCTACTGAAGAAAGAGCTAAACAAAGGATTCTGCAAGAGAAAACAGAAATGAAGAAAAAAATTGTTCTTGAAAAAATAGAACAACTAAAGAAATCAGAAATAGGAGCCAAAATTTTTGGAAGTTTGGAACAACAAGAATTAGAAAACCTAGACCCTGAAGAGCTGCTCAACCGCCAGGTTGAACAAATCGACAGAGAGAAGAAAGAGCTGCAATCCAAACTGATCACCCAAGCTCGTAAAGTGGATCACGTTGAACGGGCGAAGAGATTAGAGGAGATTCCACTTTTGATTAAGCAATACGAAGAACTCAAGATTGAAGACATCAACATATGGAACCACCTTCAACAAGAAAAAATAGAAAACTTAAGTAACGAACACAGGGCATCTTTGCAAAATAAAAATCGTCTTAAACGAATGATTACAGACAAGAATTCTTTTCTGGTTTTCGTACTAGCCAGGCGACAAGAAAAATATCAGAATAAATTGCAGGCATATAATGAGTTGTACGATCAGAAACGCAAGGAAAGACTAGAAGAGCGTTCAAGGAAACGTAAAATGGAGAATAAAAAGAAATGGTTTGAAGCTCGAGAAAAAGAGCTAAAGAAACAAGAAGAAAAACGCCACGTCGAAGAATTAATGCGTCAGAAAGAGACGATAATTGAAATCAAAAAGAGGATTGTAGACAAAGAATCCATAAAGGAAATCTTAACACCCACTGTCAGACATCGCACAGAGAAAGGCGAAGAGAAATCTTGGCGAGACAAAAGAGATGATTCAGGTAGACGAGATGATGATAGCTTTAGAAAGTCCGAGGACCGTCGCAGCGATTCAAGCCGCGAGGAACAGTCCTGGAGGAAGAAGGATATACCAAAAAGAACCGTCCTTTCTCATCGTTTCTTTGACAAGGACCGACGGAAGGTTGAATCTGACGATTGGCGCGGCAGCGACCCAAAGAGATCGCTGGAAAAGAGCACGGACCACTACAGACCTAGTTTCGGTCTGAGGGAAAAGAGATTCGAACGGAAATCCGACCCAATAAAGAAAAACGACGTTGACCAGAATAAAGAACCATCCAGAAACCAGGATCAGGAACGACCGCCCACTAAGATTCGTATCCTCAGTGCAAACCGTAACCAGGACAAACCCATGGAGGTCCCAGAAGAGAAAACAAAACCTGAAGTCCAGGAGAAGTCCAACATCTGCGAGCGGATCGTACCGAGGCTGCGAGGGCCTGAAGTCCGCACGGGCGAGCGGTACGGCGAGAGACGCAGGCTGGACAGCGGTGAACCCAAGAAGTCCCGCGGTACCGTGGACTCGGCCAATTGGAGACAGCCGGAAAGGAACTGGCCCCGGAACAAGCAGCGCAAGGACGCCTCGTAGAGAACTCTGCAGCCACATATTCATCCCAATCAAACATCATCTCACCTTGGTCACTGAAAGTAATAAACATTCTAGAAATACAATTGGCGTCCTTTCTTCTGTCTCTCTCTATTCATACAAACACTTTACATGTTGTGGAAAATAGTATAAATTTGATATTGTACTGGGATAAGGTGTATAAATTAAGAAAAAAGGGCATCTCTTGATCGTGCAAATGAAAGTTGCTGATGACGCAAGCCAAAAGGGTATTTGCCCACAAATCTGGAATAATAATAAAATCAACGAATAGTTGATATTTATTCCAATAGATAACCCAAGCCATCAGCAAATTTCATTTGTACGATAAGGTATTTACTTTTGACGTGACAACGTCTTAAATTAGGTTGCGGCTGGGAGTCACTTATGAAAAAGTGTAACGCCCGGTAACGTTACGATGAGTCATCGAACGAGAGTGCTGCGCGCGCAGCGCTAGAGAATTAGGCGCATTGAATCGGCGCATGCTTGTCTCTGTCTTTGTCTTTCTCGAACGTTCTTGGCGTTGGAAAAACAAGAAAGCGTCATAATACAAGTTCACACGTGTGGTTAAAGTATCGTCAGCTGTGTCTGTAGTGAAAATGTGGAGTGCTTAGATTCGTCATTTACAACAACTACAACAATAAAGGTAAATAATTGTACACTGATATTTCATTATCGTAAACTATGATTGATTGATTAATTGTTAGATTGACACAAAAGTTGAGAAACTGAGTTTATAGGTTATGTCATACTATTGATAAATGTTGATAGTGTTAAGTAAATTATTAGTTTAAAATTAATTAATTAATTAATTATTATTTTACAAATTTTAAATAGTTTCAAATTTATTTAGCAAAAATTTGAAAGTGGCAGATATAAGAAAGTGGCAAAAAGTGGCAGATATAAGAAAACTTTATTTAAACTGTGTTGAGCAAGAATTTTAACATCTAATTTAAGTAAATGTTTTAATTTTCAACTTCATCATTTACAATTACAAATTTTATTTAATTTCAAATTTATTTAGTAAAAATTTGAACCTTCGATCTGAATAAGTGTTTTGATTTTCAAATACCAACGCGGCTGGTGGAGTGGCGATCTATCGTAAATTATCATCGACATCTACGGCGGAAGTGTTCCAAGTTGCGATTACAGACGTAACTCGTGTCATTAAAACCAAGGGTGACATGTGCATGACTGAAGTTACTTGCTTCGCCGCTAATACTAGCTTCAAGTTTATACTCGGTGCTGTATATATTCATCCAGGAGCTAGTATGCAGGATATTGGAATGTTACTATGGCAAGGACTCGGTCCGTACATTCACAACAGCCAGTACGTGCCACCGTTCGTGCAAGTTGATTCTAGTATATCGATTCTTCTGTGTGGTGATTTTAACAAAAACGTAAAGCCTG